AGACTCTTCCAGATCCCTGCCACAACAAGTTGTCAGTATTGGTGGAGGCATCTTTTTAATCCTGAGCAGTGGTAGCAAAGTACAACTGAGTGTTGTCACAATGTGTGCAGAAACCAATCGTGTGCCTATGTCAGTTGTCACTGCATATCAACAAACAGAGAATTCACAAAGTGTTATAATTCTAGGATTCACGGCAAAACATGAGACATTAGGGCTAAAACATAAACAATGGATCACATTTAGAACATCGCCCAACAGGGGGAATGTGTAAACACTAATGATCATAGTTACTTCAACAACAAAAACCGAAAGAACTGCAGATGCTGTAAATCATTGGGCCAGACGGTTTTTTTCCTCCAAAAATCAATAATGGTTTCATAGTCATAATTAAACTCTTAATTCCAGACTTTTTTTATTATTGAATTCAAATTCCATCATCTGCTGTGGTGGCATTTAAACCCAGGAATGTTACCTGGGGCACAGGATTAAAAGTCCAGTGATAATACCATTAGACCATCATCTCCCCACTGAGGTGTCTCTGGTGAACAAACAGCCAATATTTATCAGCAAGAGTGAGGTTGTAAGTGAATGAAAACTGGTGTGAGTTAAGATGTGGGTAAGTTTCTGGGTATCTTCAAGTTAATGAAAGCTAAAATGTGGAATCTTCTGAGGAAAGGTCGTCGGACACAAACTTCAATTTTGATTTCTCTTCACAGATGCTGCCAGACCTGCTGAGCTTTTCCAGCAACTTATGTTCTTGTTACTTCAACAACAACTTGCTTTAGAATGCCTTTACTTTAATGAAATATCACAGGTAGGTTGCAGTCGGAAATTTGACACCAAATCACACAATAAGATGTTGGGAGACAATGGTTAAAGAGATAGGCTTTATAACTTGGTGTTTCTGAAATAAGAAGAGTGAAATAAAGGAGGTGAAGTGGTTTGGGTGTTTTTGGGGTGTGGCTTGGGGAAATCCCAGACATTAAGACCTTGGCAGCTGAGGCATGGTTGCAAGTGGTCCGGTCATTAAAATTGGGGATGGTCAAAATGTAGGCTTAGATCTCAGAAGATTGCTTGACTGGAGAAATTTACTGAGATAATGGTGGGTCCGGGTCATGGACAAATTTGGAAATAAAAGATGAGCATTTTAATTCATTTGTGGGACCTGGGCATCACTGGCTGTGCCAGTATTTATTGTCCAGAGGGCAGTTAAGAGTCAATCACCAAAATATTTCTGGAATCACATGTAGGCCAGACAAGGTAAGAGTGGCAGTTTCCCTCCCTAAAGGGCATTAGTGAACTGGGTGTTCTTTTTTCTACCTCCCTCAACCCCATAGTCATCATTAAATTTTTAATTCCAGATTTTTTTTAATTGAATTCAAATTCCACCATCTGCTATGGTGAGATTCAAATCCAGGTCCCCAGAATATTGTTTCAGAGATAGTAGGAACTGCAGATGCTGGAGAATCTGAGATAATAAGGTGTGGAGCTGGATGAACTCAGCAGGCCAAGCAACATCAGAGGAGCAGGAAGGCCGACATTTCGGGCCTAGACCCTTTCCCCAGAATATTACCTGGGTCTCACGATAAACAGTCCAGTGATAATCCCACTAGGCCATTACCTCCCCACTGAGGTGTCACTAGTGAACAAACAGCCAATATAGATCAGCAAGAGTGAGGATGTAGGTGAATGAGAGTTGGTGTGAGTTAGGATGTGGGTAGGTTTCTGGATATCTTCAAATTTGTAGAACTAAAATGTGGAAGATCATTCAGGAACGTATTGGAATAATTAACTCTTTGGGCAACAAAGTCAAGTGTTAGAAAGCTAATCAAAAACTACATATAACAAATGAGAAACGTGCAAAAGGAAGCAACAGGATGAATATGTTGTCATTTGTGTATTAAAGGCAGAAGGAATGTAATGAGAAAACCAAGCTGCAGGTAAATAAATGACCATACACTTCCATCACAGATTCATTCATACCTCAAAACAGGAAGGTACTGAAAGCATGAACAGTTGAAAATTGTAACAATGATATTGCACAACAGCTTCGATGTGTTAGCCTGATGTTTCTGTCCACTTGATCACCAACAAACTGTCCTGGTTCACCCATGTCGACATGATGGTCAAGAAAGCACAACAACGCCTCTACTTCCTCTGGGAGCAAAGGAAATTCAGCAGGTCCACAAAGACACTTACCAATTTTTATAGATGCACCAGAGAAAGCATCCTATCTGGGTGCATCACCGCATGGTATGACAACTGCTCTTCCCAAGATCATAACAAACTACACAGAGTCATGAACACAGCTCAGTCCATCACACAAACCAGTCTTCCCTTCATTCACTTCATTTATACTTCCTGCTGCCTCAGCAAAACAACCAAAGTAATCAAAGGCCCCTCCCAACCCAGTTACACTCTATTCCACCCTCTTCCGTCAGGCAGAAGATACAAAAGTTTGACTACATATATGAACAGATTCAAGAACAGTTTCTTCCCTACTGTTAGCACACTTTTGAACAGACCTCTCAAATGTTAATGTTAATTTCTCTCTCTGTGCCTTCTTTGCAGCTGTGACATTGTATGCTGCACTCTGTTCTGCTACCCTGATGCACTTTTTATGGTATGAGCTGCCTGTATAGCACACAAAACAACACTTTCCACTGTACTAAAACAAAGTTGCTGGAAAAGCTCAGCAGGTCCGGCAGCATCTTTGAAGGAAAAAACAGAGTAAATGTTTCAGGTCCAGTGACCCTTCTTCAGAACAGGAGTTCCGAGGAAGGGTCACCAGATCTGAAACGTTAACTATGTTTTTTCCTTCACAGATGCTGCCAGACCTGCTGAGCTTTTCCAGCAAATTTGTTTTTGTTCCTGATTTACAGCATCCACAGTACTTTCGGTTTTTACTTTCCACTGTATCTCGATACATGCGACAAAAACAAATCAAATCAAATCACATCAAAGTTAAGATCTCACTTGACAATATATAAAATCAACGAGCTGAGCACAAAAAAAGCCATTCGGTTCTGTGTTTATGTGTTCATACTTCACACAGCCTACTCCCACTCTTTCTCCAATTAACACTATCAGCATTTCCATCTTTCCCTCCTCCCCCACGTGCTTACTTAGCTTAAGTAAATCCCTTAAATGCATTGGAGGAAGTCACACAAATGCACAAAGGATTTGTACACTGATATTGATGATAGGGATATCTAATCCACAAAGCTACTGTCTAAGCTTTAAATAGGGTACTGTTACATGTATAAAGGTGTTGTCCTCTGGATCTGGCAGCCAATTGTGCTGCATGGAGCAGTGGTGTCAGGAAGCCATCACAACCCACACAACACCCCCTCCCCTCTGCCCACCCAGTCCAATGGATACATGCACTTTTAAAGTTCAATATCAGATGTGGGCATCACAAAAAAATCAGCATTTATTGTCCCATTCCTAATTTCCCTTGAGAAAGTAATGGTGAGACAGGTTTTTTTTTAATTTCAATAGAGCTGAATGAGTTCCAGACAATGTCACAAGTCAGTTAAGATTCTACCACATTGCTAGAAGCCTGAAGTCACTTTATTCCATACTGGGTAAGGATGGCAGATCCCCTTCCAGTGTATGATGGTTTGAATTAGATTTGTTTGTAAAGAGCTGCTTATTTTCAAATAGCATAAGGCATTTGGAAGTGATGTTCATCAGAATAATTACACAAGAGTAGCTGGCAGATGAATCAACGTCTCAAAGAATGGAGGGAGAATGCAAAAATGGGAAATGTATCTTAACTTGTGATGAAAATATTACTAAGTGCTATTAGAGATATGGTAGAATAACATGCTGGCACAATTTCACCTGTGGTGTCCCAGTGTGGCATCTACTGAATATTTATTGCACGTGTGAAGATGAGCAACTTGCATTTATATCATGCTGTGATCGTAATAAAATGTTCCCAAATCTTCAAGAGGGGGCAGAACAGGTTCTTATTGAAAAAAAAATTAGAGGTGACCAAAAACATAGTTACAGGAGTAGGATTTGAAAAGGCTTTGGAACAGAAAATTGACAATAAAAATGGAAAATGCAGGAAATACTCATCAGGTCAGACAGCATCTGCAGAGACACAGGGTTAACATTTCATGTTGCAATGACCCTCTTAAAATAATCTCGCAGAGGGCACATAAGGAAACTGCCCTCTTTTTCTGAAACTAAAACAGAAAGTATGCAGGAGAAACTCAACAGGTCTGGCAGCATCTGTTGAGAGAAAACAGAGGTAATGTTTCGAGACTAGTGACCCTTCTTCAGAACTTCTTTCTGAGTTCATTTAGAGGTTATACTAACTGAATGAAGCAATTGAAATGCCACAGTATTTTTTTTTATTTTAGCAATTGTAATTATATTCATAATTGGAAATTCTAAACATTTTTTCCAACTAATGAATGCATATGCTACAAAAATGGTCAGTTATTCAAAATCTGCACTGCTGCACTGTATGGGATTTTAGATTGCACTGCCAATCCAAGTCTGCTAGCTTTGTTCTAATTGTATCATACAGATAACTTGAGAGGCTTCTAAAGGGGGATGTAATAGCATGGAGTATGATAACGTTGTTTTTTTCATCATTGAAGCTCCCGCTGTGATGAATACGAAGATGGTTCCATACATTTGAGGGCTGTCAATTATAAAAAAAAGTCCTTTCACCTTGGTAAAGATATTGAAGTGCCATAATCCTCTGAAATAATGTAATTTGCCTGCTTTCTTGTAAGTCCCATTTTCTTTCAAATTTTAAGAGCTCAGAGCTACTATTTGCTGATAATTGTCTACTGCATTCAACTTCCTTCATTTTATTATCACTGGGATGAATACACCAACAGATAGAAGGGGAATTTGATCAGTTGATGGATTGATAGACCAAAAGACTGGTAGATACATACATATGAAAAAACACAGAAAGTGTCTGATAAAGTCAACGCTAGACAATTTCAGCTGGAACTGACTAGTGTCCCACTTACCTGTCTGCACTGAGAGCTGTCAGGGTGAACACTGACACTCCCACTGAGGTGAGTTGGATCAGGGGGATGAGTTTACAAGCCAGTGTTCCGAAGATCCAGTCCTCAAAGAAATACCTGGCAGCGTCAACGGGGACACAAGTGACTAGGAGCAGCAGGTCGCCAGCCGCTAAGCTGGAAATGAAAATGTTAGGCACACTTCTCATGGCACTGTTGGCTACAAAGACCTTGACCAAAGTGATGTTCCCCAGCAAGCCCACTGTGATGAGGAGGAGGTAGATTGGGGGGACAATGCACCGGATCACGAAGAACGCAGTGTCAAGGTAAACAATCTCTTCTGTAAAGTTGTTCCAAGTTGCTCCATCGGGTGAGAGGAAGGTACTGTTGTCGAACAGTTCGCCATCCATCTTCCAAAAGTCCTGGCTCCCGTCCCAAGGGGAAAATAAATGCTGGACTAGGCAGTCTTATGCTCTTGCTACAATGGTCTCAGCTCCACGCCCTCCTTCTCCACATCCACCACGCCCCCCGTCCCCCACCAGCCCCCGTGAGGTCAACTCCTTTCCAACTAGTCAATGGTCGCGATAATCGGCAAATTGGGTCACTGTCCTTTGGTCCACTTGACAGCAAGTTCCCTGAAAGAAAGAAGAGGAAGACAAATTGACCAAAATTCTGGCAACACTTTCACAAGAATAACAATCACCCAGGACTTCGTGTTTCATTCTCTAGATATCCTCAATCATCTATGAACAAAAGTTAAAAATAAGTGCCGGAGGGCTTGGAGATTACCTCGGACTGACGCCCACTTAGCGGCAGTGAAAGGAGCTGTCCTGAGTCTGCGGTGCTGAAACTGTAGGGAGAGCCGGCCATTCACCGCTGTCCAGTCTCAGCAGCCGTGGAGGGAGCTGTCCCCAGACTGCGGTGCTGAAACTGTAGGGAGATCCGACCGCTCCCAGAGTCCAGTCTCAGCGGCTGTGAAAGGAGCTGTCCCCAGGCTGCAGTGCTGAAACTGTAGGGCGAACCGGCCGCCTGCAACTGACCAGTCGCGGATGCTGTGGAAGGAGCTGTCCGGTTTGCGGTGCTGAAACAGTAAACATTCACTCCTGCTTTCAGCTCTGAGATTTTCCCTTTCCCTGTCTGACAGGTTCCTCTGTTCAATGAGGATTTTCTGACTCCCTTCGTCTCAATTCGTTATTTCCCCGTTTCTGACTTTCCACTGTTCTTCTTACTCTCTGTTCCTGTATGCCTTCCCTTCCACTTTAAATCTCCTCTTGCCACTAATCTCTATGTTGAATGCTTTCACACCCCTCCTATCCTTTCTCTTTCATTTCACACTTATTCAGATTCTTCCTCCCTACTCAATCCTCTCCCTCTATACCTTTGTATCCGTGTCTCAGACACTCTTATTTCTCTTCGCCCACTCTTAATTTCTATATTTGAGATTCAGCCGTAGGTTCTGTTCTTTCTTATCCCCTCTATCTGTCTTTACGCAATTGTCATTGATCAGTGCTCAGAGCTGGCAGTTATACCTGTTTCTTCCATAACAGAGTAATCATGTTATCAAAAAAGGAAATTATATTTTATTAGAAAAAGTCACAGGGCTCATGTGAAACGTGATGAAAGTTATTGCTGAATCCAGTGAGAAGGTCATTCAGGGAACACTTCCCCCTGTACAATAAAAACTCTGTATTGGCATATCAAATAACTCAAATCCATTGTTATAATCCCACTGTTGTTATTCTTTTCACTCCCAGGAATGTTTGACTATCCAATACGTTCAGCAGCTCCAAACCTATTCTATTCTTGGACAAGGAGGTATTTCTCATTTGATTGCCTAAGATCACATTTTCTGAAACTAAAGTCCCAATATCCTCTTCTAAAGGTTCCTGGGAGGACCACATTTCATCGGGTAATAGGTGTGATGCCATCAATGTTAAGCACACACTGCCCTAGTAACTAACATGTGGAACAATGTGGAACTAATAAGTAAAGTTCTTCAAAATGAGCTAGTTTGTTCCAGACAACTTCCCAGATAGCAAAAACATGCAATATTTTATTTGCGCAGAGATAGTAAGAACTGCCGATGCTGTAGTCAGAGATAACACAGTGTGGAGCTGAAGGAACACAGCAGGCCAGGCAGCATCAGAGAAGCAGGAAAGCTGAAGTTTCTGGAGCGTTTCTGAAGAAGGGTCCCAACCCGAAATATCAGCTTTCCTGCTCCTCTGATGCTGCCTGGCCTGCTGTGTTCCTCCAGCTCCACACTGTATTATCTTTATTAATGTTTTATTTGCGCCTGGTTCTGCGCACCAGCGATCATTAATCTTGAACTCCTCGAAGAAACGGCAATTACACAGGGATCCACATTAAACATAAGAATGTGGAATCTTTGTGACCATTCTTTATTTGACATTAGAATAACATGGGTGGTATCAACAGTGTGCAGAGTAAAGTCAAGGATCAGAGACTCTACGCCAATACCAAGATCTTGAAAATGAAAGCATGCTAAATTGCACAGGCACTGAGCTCTTTTCATCCTACAATGTTTCACATCTCTGCCTCTTAAAGGAAATAGATGGCAACAACATGTGAAAACCCGCTGGTCAAATTTTTGATAGCTCCTCAGGATTTTCTACCTTCACAGCCATGACTTTGAGACCACCAGCCAGTGACCTCAAACTGAAAAGTTGCTCTTTGCTCATGTAAGTATTCTTTTACATCACTTTTCTTTAAAGTTAATGGTGAATTCATCCAATTGGGAATTCACAGCTGCTTCTGAATTTGCTTATTGTGATCAATTAGGACAAGATACAGTTGCTAGGATGTCAAAGGCAGACCCAAACTCAGAGATAGGTTTTCCTGGAGGATTATCTAGAATATGAGACTGTTATACCTGGCGATGAAGCTAACCTCCTTGACACTTTCCTACTGCAAGTAGTAACCAAAAATAAAATAGAAGAATGTGAATTAATGGAGCTACTGGTGGGAACAGTAGGGGACACGATTGCTTAATGGCATTATCCCTAGACTGTTAATCAAGAGACCCAAATAATGCTCAGGGGACCCGGCTTCAAATCCCGCCATGGCAGATAGTGGAATTTGAATTCAGTGCAATATCTGAAATCAAGAATCTAATAAGAACCATTAATCAATTGTCTGAAAAAACCATCTGGTTCACCAAAGTCCTTCAGGGAGGGAAACTGCCATCTTTACCTGGTCTGGCCTACATGTGACTCCAGACCCACAGCAATGCAGTTGACTCTAAACTTCCGTCAGAGCAATTAGGGATGGGAAATAAATGCTGCCTAACAAAAAACACCCTCACCCTGTTAGTGAATATTTTTTAAAAGAAAAGGCTTCTTTACAGTTTCCAATTCTGAAAGAACAGATTGGACACTACAGCCACTTTATTGACATTACAGTTAGTACCAATCCTATGTCACCATCCTCAACAAGTTGGTGGCAGTTATAGATATTTTCTAATCAACCAGTTCGTACACACCTCTAGAGCAAGTGGAATGTGAACCCAGGCCTCCTGGTCCAGAGGTAGGGACATTGGCACTGCATCACAAGAGCCCTCTGGGAAGCCAATATCCTTGTTCAATGTACCTACATTTCTGTCTGAGTTCTACAGTTTGACTGTCTAGGCACTTGTATTTGCAGAAGCCTTTTTCTGTATGAGGATCCTGTGGTACTTTCTTTTTAAAAGTTTGTAGAGAGTGTAAACCCCTGCATGGAACTTCTTAACCTGCTTCTTTGTTCTCTATAACATCTGAGAATGTTCATTCTACGGAAGTTTTGCCAAGACTCTTGCTTCCTTCGAGGTTTTACTGTTGATTAGTCTGCTCCTGGCTCAAAGATGGAAAGGATTGAGTATAGCTAGAATGAAGGATATTGCACAGAGTTCTATTCCCCAGCTCAGCTGATGATTATTTCTTGTTCCTTACTTTCTGATCGTAAACCTACTTGCTCTAACTTGCATTTTTTTACATTTTATCCTTTGAAAGGATGTAGGCATCTTTGACAAGCCATTATGTGTTGCCTATCCTTAATTGATCTTCTCTTGAGAGATTTGCTCTGTCATTTCAGAGAGAGGTTACCTGTCAACCACATTGCTTTGGGTTAGGAGTCACATGTAAGCCAGACCAGGCAAGGATGGCAGATTTTCTTTCCTTAAAGAGAATTGATGGATAGATTTTTTCAAAATGGCAAATCTGTTTTCAGTCCATTTAGAAAATGGCCCTTCCTGATTATCATTGAATAAGATTTCTCTTCAAAGTTCCAGATTGAGTTTAATGAATTCATTTTTCACTCTCTGCCATGCTTGGGATTTGAACCTATATCTGTAGAACATTAGAGATAACAAGGTGTAGAGCTAGATGAACACAGCAGGCCAAGCAGCATCAGAGGAGCAGGAAGGCTGATGTTTTGGGCCTAGACCCTTCTTCAGAAATGGGGGAGGACAAGGGAATTCTGAAATAAATAGGGAGAGAGGGGGAGGCGGAAAGAAGATGGATAGAGGAGAAGATAGGTGGAAAGGAGACAGACAGGTCAAAGAGGCGGCGATGGAGCTAGTAAAGGTGAATGTAGGTGGGGAGTTAGGGAGGAGATAGGTCAGTCCAGGGAGGACGGACAGGTCAAGGGGGTGGGATGAGGTTGTTAGGTAGGAGATGGGGCTGGGGCTTGAGGTGGGAGGAGGGGATAGGTGGGAGGAAGGACAGGTTAGGGAGGCGGGGACAAGCTGGGCTGGTTTTGGGATGCGGTAGGGGGAGGGGAGATTTTGAAGCTTGTAAAGTCCACATTGATACCATTGGGCTGCAGGGTTCACAAGCAGAATATGAGGTGCTGTTCCTGCAACCTTTGGGTGGCATCGTTGTGGCACTGCAGGAGGCCCAGGATGGATGTGTCGTCTGAGGAATGGGAGGGGGAGTTGAAATGGTTCATGACTGGGAGGTGCAGTTGTTTAGTGCGAACTGAGCGTAGGTGTTCTGCAAAGCGGTCCCCAAGCCTCCGGAGGTTTGAATATTGCACTCTCAACATCACTGAAGCATTTTATCTTGACGTTATCATGTTTCTGTTGTGGTGCATTGCTGTTTGAAAATTGACTGCAGCATTTCCTAAATTACATTAGTGACTACACCTAAAAAGTACTTTGTTGCGTGTAAACCATTTAAGGTTGTCCTGGTGTCATTAAATGTGTTATATAAATACTCAACTTTAATTCCTGTTGATCCTGAATGCAAGCCTCACCTTCTCAATCCATGTTCCAAGGATTGTGCCTCCTATAAAAACTCATGAATGCACACTTAACTAGTTAGTGACTTACTAGGAACTTGCAAAAGAATAGTTTGCAACCAAGAAACCCATTAGTGTCTTCTGAATTGTACACAGGACAAATGCGATATTACCTTGACAGATATTATCTGCATTCATGAAGGATTATGCTCCAGTGAAACAGTTTATCAAGTGATTTCAGAACTGACCTTGATGTGGTCAAATGATTAGTAGAGCAATAATGTATAAAACAGGTATTCAGTTTTGCTGAATCTAATGTATTTATGCAAATCTAATGTATTATATGACAAAAAATGGAGTTTGAGATGCATGTGACAGATGCTGAATTGATAATACAAGCATGAAACAGACTGAATTTATAAGGATTAGAGGCAAAGTGAAAACGGGATGAGAAGCAAACAGAAAGTATAAGAAGAGACTGACAGCTATAATACAAGGGCATCCAAAAGTCTTCTATAGGCATTTAAATAGTAAATCAGCCCTAAAAGGAGTTTGGAAGATTAGAGATAAAAGAAATGGGGATTTATGCATGGAGGAAGACGGCTGAAGTACTACATGATTATCATATATCTCTAGAAAGAGATGCTGCTGAAGTAATGGTGAAAGTAAGGAAATTGAGATACTCATGGGCTAAAATAAGCAAAGAGGGAGTATTAGATTAATTTATTTGAAGTTAATAAATCCTCAGGACCTGATGGGATGCATTAGAACATACAGGGAGAATTAAGGTAAAGTCACTATATTACAAATAACTCGTGGCGAGTTTATCCTGAGGGTCACCACACCTCAGGTCAGGGGAGAGGTTGAACAGGCAGAACCTGTATGGTAACCTCAGCTGGCATAGGAATTAAACCCATGCTGTATCACAAGCCAGCTGCTCAGTTAATTGAGCTAAATAAAAACAGGAATTTTAGAGGCAATGGCCATGATTCTCCAATTGCCCTTCGATGCAGGGGTGGTGCCAAAGTATTAAAGGCTTAAAAATGTTATACCATTGTTCAAAAAAATGACTGAGAATAAACCAAGCAAATATAAGCCAGTGAGTTTGACACTGGTGGTGAAAAATCTTTTAAAAACTATAATTTGGGATATTGTGCAGTTCTGGTCAGCACATTACCAGAAGGATGTGGATGTTTTGGAGAGGTACAGAAAAGGTTTACAAGGATGTTGCATTTTATGGGGGATTTTAGTTATGAAGAAAGGTTGGATAGACTGTGAGACAACAAGGTGCAGGGCTGGATGAACACAGCAGGCCAAGCAGCATCACTGGAAGACAGGAGATTGAGGGGTGACCTGATAGAAGTTTATAAGATTGTGAATGGCATGGATAGAGTTAAAAGTATAAGGTTTTTTCCCATGGTGGAGGAGTCAATTACTAAGGGACACAGATTTAAGGTACGTGGGGGGATATTTAAAAGAGATGTGTGAGTTTTTCACGCAAAGGGTGGTGAGTGCCTGGAACATGCTGCCAGAGGAGGTGATGGAAGCAGACACAGTAGCAGCATTCAAGAAACACCTGGATGAATACATGAATAGGAAAGCAATAGAGGGATACAGATTCTGTAGGTAGAGTCAGTTTTAGTATGGAAGGGCTAAATGTGTCAGTGCAGGCTTGGAGGGCCTGTTCCTGTGCTCTTTGTTCTTTGTTCTTTGTTCCTTGTTTTGCTTTAAAAAGAAACAGACCCTTGGACAAACTTGGACTCAATAAGAAAAGCCATCAGGAATCTATTAAGGACAGAAATAAGCTTTGATTAGAAACAAAAGGTCTTGGATAATTGTCCCTTGCTAATTGACAATTGAATAAGTGATTGAGATGAGATAACCATCAAGCCCTAGAAATAAGATATATAAATGGGTACTTGAGAAGAAATAATTTTGGACAGAAAATAACTTCTTGCGGTGGGCCCATGCTGGTTTCAGTCTTACAGTTTAGCTCAAGCCAAAAGAGAAATTATCAGCCACAAAAATTACCTTCTTTCTGACCTGAAGCCACCAGATAGTCATAGTCTGCTGAGACCACCAACCCAGAGATCAGCAACTTTTCAGATCTGGTAAATTTGTTACAGTTTTTGAGGTTTTTTTCTGCATATTTACCTTGTATGCCACATCTGAACTGTTGCTTCCTAATCAACTACTTTAAAATCACTTGTGGTTTCAAACAATTCAAATCTTACAGAAACACTTTTGAAGGCACTTTGATGTGTTACAGCAGTGCATTTTCTGACACTGGACACAGGTGGTGAAGAGGATGAATGTTTAAGCTAATGGAAATGGGTGCCAATCAAGGTAGTTGTACTGTCTTGTTGGCATCAATATGCTTCAGTGTTGGTGGAGCTGACTCATCGAGACAAGTGGCAAGTACTCATGCTCCTGACTTATACCTTTATTTAAAACAAATAACAGCAGATGCTGGAGATCTGAAACAAAAGCAAAATTTTCTTGTGAAACTCAGTGTGTCTGCCAACCTCTGAGGGGAGAAAGCAGGTTTAATGTTTTGAGTCTGTTCTGAGAATGAGTCTTCAGATTTGAAGCATTAACTCTGCTTTCTCTTCACAGGTGCTGCCAGAACTGCTGAGACCCAGCAGCAATTTCTGTTCTTATACATTGTAGATGTTTGACTTTGAGGCGTCAAAGGGTGAGCTACATGCATCAGAACTCCTGGTTTCTGACCGGTCTGTGTCATCACAGATGAAATGGTGAATCTACATTTTGAGGTAATAATATATTTCTCAGCACATGTAAGGAGTTTGTTTTAAAGTTGACGTTTAGAATGAAAATGAATGCACTTTCATTTTATAGTTTTGAAAGTATTATGTTCCGATAAAGTCATGGAATCATACAGCATGGAAACCAATCCTTTGGTACAACCAGTCCATGCCGATCATAATCCCAAACTAAACTAGTCCTACTGCCTGCACTTAGCCCATATCCCTTCAAACATTTCTTATTCATGTACCCACATCTACCACTTCCTCTGGAAGTTCATTCCATACATGAATCACTCTGTCAAACAGTTGCCCATCATGTCTTTTTTTTTTAAATCTTACTCCTCACACCTTAAAAATATGCCCCCTAGTCTTGAAATCCCCCCACCCTAGGGAAAAGACACCTACCATTCACCTTATCTACACCCCTCATGATTTTATAAAATTCTATAAGCTCACCTCTCAACCTTCTATGCTCCAGTGGAAAAAAGTCCCAGCCTATTCAGACTTTCCTTATAACTCAATCCCTCCATTCCTGGCAACATCCTGGTAAATCTTTTGTGAACTCCCTCCAGCTTGATAATATCCTTCCTATAACAAGACAATCCGAACTGGATGCAGTATTCCAGATGAGACCTCACCAATGTCCGATGCAACCTCAACATGATGTCCCAACTCCTACACTTAAAAGATCTGAGTATTTCAGTTTAGTGTGTTAAAAGCCTTCTTAAGCACCCTGTCTACATGTGACAGAAACTTCAGAGAATTATGTACTTGTACCCCTAGATCCCTCTGTTCTACAACACTACCCAAGGCCCTACTTTTAATGGAATAATATTTGGTATACAAAATAAATGGTCAGTGTTACAATTACCTCATGTTGTTTAACTGTTTCACTGGGAAACTAAAATACATTCCGCATCATCAGTGCTATAACGTCCACTTACGATTGAAGTTGAATTGAAGAAAATATATGCCATAAAATCCCAAAACTAGCAACAAGATAGTTATGTAAAAAAAGCTTGTGTGCCTTTGTGTGTATGTGAGAGAGTGTGTGAGAAAAACAAGATTTCATTTATACCTCTAAGTGCATGTATTTTATAACAATGTAATGGAGGTGAGGCAAATCATTAGTTTCTGCTGGAGCAGACTAAAGTTAAGAGGTGCATGATAGATTCTGATTTTTATAAAGTGGTGTGTGGTTCTAGAAAAAAAGCTTGATCATTAATCATTCCAAGGTCATGAAAAATTAAGAGTATAAGAAGTAGAAGCAAGAGTTTCTCGAGCCCGTTCCAACTTTCAATAAGATTATGGCTGATCTTTTGCCTCAACATCACTTTCTAAGTTGTTCCTCATATTCCTGGATTCCCTACCTATCTCAAAGTCTTGACCAAACTTAATGATCCACAATCCTCTCAGGCAGAGAATCCCAATTGTTCATCAATTTCTCACTGCAGTTATTTCACTCCATGTCTGTCTTAAATGATCAACCCCTTTTCCTAAAACTGTTCCATGTTCTGTATTCTCCAGTCAATGGACCCAATGTTTCAGTATCCATTGTGCCAGATCCCTTCAGATACTTAATAAATCTGAAAGAACTGCCGATTCTGATCTACAGCAACAAAAACAGAAATTGCTGGAAAAGCTCAGCAGATCTGGCAACATCTGTAGAGAGAAATCAGGTTTAACATTTCCGGTCCAGTGACCCGACTGAAGACTGAACTTGACCCGAAATATTAACTCCGATTTCTCTCCACAGATGCTGCCAGACCTGCTGAGCTTTTCCAGCAATTTCTGTTTTTGTTCCCCTCGGAAATGTGTGTCTCCATGAAACCACATCTCTTTCTTATAAACTTCCGAGAGTGTGGACACAATTTATTCATAGGACAATGCTCTCATCCCAGGTTCCAATCTAGTAAACCTTTAATATATTGCCTTAAGGCAAGTATAATCTTCCTTAGATACAGATAGCAGTATTTCAGATGTGGCATCAAATGGCCTAAATAAAATTTGGATTTCATTATTCATGTACTTCAGTTCTTTTGCACTAAAGACAAACATACCATTTGACTCATAGATAGTAGGAACTGCCGGTGCTGGAGAATCTGAGATAACCAGGTGTAGAGCTGGATGAACACAGCAGGCCAGGCAGCATCAGAGGAACAGGAACGCTGATGTTTAGGGTCTGGATCCTTCTTCAGAAAATGACCCTTCTGAAGAAGGGTCCAGACCCGAAACATCAGCTTTCCTGCTCTTCTGATGCTGCCTGGCCTGCTGTGTTCATCCAGCTCTGCACCTTGTTATCTCATACCATTTGATTTCCTGATTGCTTGTTATATCTGATAACTTTCTGTGTTCCCTATACAAATACATAGGAGTCTTTGACATCAGTATTTCAAAGTTTTATAACATTTAAAAATATATTCTGCTTTCCAATTCATGAACAACCTTACAGTTTCCCACATTATTATCCATCTACTGCCACCTCTTAACATTTCACTTAGCCAGCCTGAGTACTTTGCAGGCTCCTTGTGTCCTCCTAATGGCTTACATTCTCATTTAGCCTAATCAACTCTGTGGAGAGGTTATTACATACCTCTGGAGCAGATGGGATTTGAACTCAGGTTTACCCAGGGTAGGAATCCTACCATTGCACCATAATTGTCCACACATCATTAGTAGACTTAGATACATTGCACTCAGCCTCACAGAACATAGAATAGTCATCATAGGAACAGAACCTTCAGCCCATGATGTTGTGCCAAACATGACACCAAGTTAAACCAATCCCTTCTGCCTGCCCGTGATCTATATCCCTCCATTCCTTGCTTGTTCATGTGCTTATCTAAAAGCCCCTTAAATACCCCTATCATATCTGCCTCAACCACTGCCCCTGGAAGCGAGTTCCAGCCACCTACCACACTCTGTGTTAAAAAAACCTGCCCCTTACATCACTTTTGAAAATTCCCCCTCTCACCTTAAATGGGTGCCCTCAAGTATTAGATATTTCAACTCTGGGAAAAAGATTCTGGCTGTCAATCCTATCTATGCCTCTTATAATTGTATGAACTTCTATCAGGTCTCCTATCAGCCTCCGCCACTCCAGAGAAAACCACCCTAGTCTGTCCAGTCTTTCCTTATAGCTCATACCCTCTAATCCAGGCAGCATCCTGGTAAATGTCTCCAAAGTTTCCATATCCTTCCCATAGCGTAACAACCAAAATTGAATGTAATCATTTTCAAAATCATTTAGATTTTACAAAGCACTGATAATTGTGGCACTGCATTGATCACAGCCTGTCAACTTGAAAATGGTTCAATTATCATTATTACCTGCTTTTTGTCAATTAACAATTCCTCCATTTATGCTAATAAACTACCCCTGCTCCCCGAGCTCTTAATTATCTTGCATTCTAACCTTTTCGGTGAGACCTGTCCATTTGCCCACCTACAATGGCTACGAATTTGAATATTTCTAAAATCTGTCAAGATGCTCAACCTACTACTGATACAATGAAAAATGTTTGTCGTCATTATATTTGTCTCAGTTTTAGATTCTTCCATTGTAAATGTCTACTAAAGCAAATTGTCACACAGCAATCCAGCTATTGAATAGAATCATTGAGTCCCTACAATGTGGGAACAGGCCATTCAACCCATCATGTCCACACTGACCTGCTGAAGAGCATCCACCCACCCTATATTTCCCATGGCTAACACATCTAAGCTACACATCCCTGGATGGGGCAATTTAGCACGGCCAATCCAACTAACCCGCACGTCTTTGGACTGTGGGAGGTAACCGGAGCACCCAAAGGAAACCCGCACAGACACAGGGAGAATGTGCAAACTTTACACAGTCGGCCACCCCTGGGTGGAATTGAACTTGGGTCTGTGGCACTGTGAGGCAGCACTGCTAACCATTGAGCCATTCTGCTGTTCCAAATTGGATCTGCATAATTCTCTCAACACTAACCATAAATAATATTTTTCTTAACTGAAATTTCTAATGTCCAAAAAAGCACACCAAAATTTAAAACATAAAATACTTCACAATAATATAATCCCATATATTTGGTGAGTTCTTGTGTTTCGTTTAATGCCCCATTTATTGTCTTTATTTGAAGGTCTCAGTCACTTCTGAAAGCTTGAGCTTGAAGTTGAAATATTTTCCTGAAAGTGAGAGGTGAGTTACAATTGTGCAGTCTGACTCGAGGACACTTCAGTACTATTCAGTTAGCAATACTGAGGAATATTTTGTTTAGCTTCTTGTCCTTTCTGTCAATGGCTTACCTTATTTTATTGTTGTGTAGCTTACGTTAATATTTTCTTTTGCAGAGGGACTGTGTGCCTTTGCTTCCGCATATGGCAAGAGTACGAGAAAATGAGATTTTTCTGATTACACAATTTTATATGCTCTATGAACCTTTCAGGAAATAAATGAAAAGGAAATATGGAAGGTTAATTGTTAGGGAAAGTGAAAGAAGGACTGAGTTCAGAGGAGGCAGAGGGAGAGAGAGACTTCAATCAACAAAGTAGAAATGAAACTGGTATCGAAGAGATCAAGAGGAACAAAAGTCAAGATGGGGAGAGAGGAAGAAGGAGAAATAAATCTCATCTCTGCAGATAACTGAAACTGCAAGGAATATAACAAGACCAGCAGCACTGCTATAAATGATACTAGTGTTAAAGCTGGGTAGCTCTTTCAGGAGCTAGTACAGACACGATGGGTCAAATGGCCCCCTTCTGTACTGTAAAATTCTATGATTTAAACTCTGTCCTGCTCACACAATTGCACAACAAAGATGCAGCAAAGGTATTGGAAATAACAGTTTCACATTAACAAATGCAATAACAAAACATGCAAATATTAGGTCATATGAGTATTAGAGCCCAGTTTGAGGGTTCTGAAATCACTCTACACAGGTGGTTTCCTGTCACCAAATCACCTTTATTTGCCAATGAATAGCCCTTGACTGTAGTACTGCCTCATACAGAGTCAGCTACTGGAATGTTCACACAGGTATTTCTCCTATAATGCAATAGTTGTGTTGTTATGTGATGTTGCAGCATAGGAAATCGCATTATAGGGAAATCGCCGTACTGTACAGTAGAAAGTTTGCGTTAGTCAAACAGCATCCGCTATTCATCAACCGCATGACAGCCAATTCGCGTTAACAAAACACACATTATAGCCGAAATACCTGGATCCCTGACACTCAGCTTTTTATCTGTCGGCCAGGGCTCCCTGATTTGAGCAGATGAACAGACCCAATCAAGAAACTCTTATTCTATGAGGTCCGGCTGGCTGAACTCATTACAATCACTACAGGTTTCTTCACTCAATAGTTAAAATTCAGGCCAGTCCAGGGGCTGCAAACAGGACATGCAGAACTCCCTCAAAGTTGAAAATATTGCAGCAATATGTTATTTGAAGATAGCGACAGCAATATGTTATTTGAAGATAGCGAATCAGTGTGATTTTTAGTTAAATGCAAGGCTTTATGAAGACTTAAGTTTCCAGTCTGGTCTAGCTGTTAGCCTAGAGTCCTGCCAACTGCTGCTGGTTTCATAGCAGACTGGCTTAAGGGTTTGTAAGTGCAGTATTAAAACTCTTCTAAGTACAGGCGCATTTTGGATCCTTGCCCATTGATGAGTCATTTAGGCTAGCAACTGAATTTCCATCCTTCTGGTTACAATCCATTGAGCACTTTAGGAGATCGACAGTGGCCTTTAGCATTTCTGCAGGTGTAATGAGTTTCAATGTGTCTGTTCTGTGATTGATCCAGGCTCAGAGACAGTGGATCTGTGAGTTCTTTGTCTTGCTATTTTGGAATGTATTCAAACAATGATAAGTACAAGGTTCCACCTGTGTGATTAACCTGCTGCAAATGTACTACTGCGGCTTTTATTTAACTTGTCATTCACGTGATATGTAGCCATCGTAAAGTCCATTTTTAAAACAAAAAAGTAGTACCGGTTTTCGAACAATTTATACACCCTTTCCTGTCCTATGGCCATGATTCGCACATTTCAAAATAACTTGCCGAGTGCTTCTCTCATTCTTCAGCAATATGCTTCAAAGATACTTAATGAGTGCTCTCTGCTAGAAGAAGTTTTCTCACAAAGATTGCTCACTTTCGCTTAAAGCAATTATCTTTGGCTAAAATACTGGATTCTAAGATTCTTCTGAATTCATTAAAACAAACCCAAAACCCAAAATGTTTATTGTCATCATTTCTGGATTTTTACAGTACCATCAAACTTCTGACAATCATGTGTCAACTGACAAAGACCCTCGTAAGTACTAACTTCCTGGAAAGTACCTAGTAACTGCTAACTTTATTTACTGACAAGAGCACAAGAGCACTAGGCCACTTGTCCAGTTATTCCCTGTCAAGTGTATTATATTTTATACCCTTTCTGTGGGCAAACTTTACAGCTTCTAATCAAGGTCAAAGCACCTGCATTGAAACAACAATGGATATTTACCCAAATATTTTCAATCCTTTACCAACAGGAGAAAATTCTCACAGCTTCCCCCCAACGCCCTAATGTTCACCTATCCTCTATATTTATAACTCTTCACCAATCAGAAGATACACATGGTGTCCTTTGACCAACCGAACATTAATTTCAACCTCAAACAAAAACAGAAATTGCTGGAAAGAAGACTAAGCCGTCTGGCAACATCTGTGGAGAGAAAACAGAATTAACATTTTGGGTCCAGTAACCCTTCTTCAGAATGGATTTATTTGAACATTATATTTACAATTTTAACATAAAGTAATTCTAATAGCCAATCCATATTGCAGTTTTGATTTGTGTCACTAGTAATGCTAATCTCACGAAAAGCCAGATTCAAAATATTAATCCCAACCACAATCTCAGTTTACTCCTGTATTTTTCTCCGAAAGGTGCATTACAGAACTTGATACTTTAGAGCAACTGAAAGACTTCTTAACAGCATTCCAATAATGCTGGAAAATGGGATTATTATAGTCAGACAGTTATTTTTGACTGGTGTGGATTTGATGGGCTGAAGGGCCGTTTTCTGTGCTGTGGATCTCATTGACACTATATAAATTCAGGCTTTTCATCACAAATCTTATTTGCAGTAAATTTCATGACTTCAGCCTTATTAATGGTACAACATGGTGAAGTCTAACAAGTAAACACAGAAAGTAAATGGAGCAGCCATTAATTGCCATTGAATCAATGTCATGATTAGAATAGAACTGGAAACAAGCAAAAGATAATTTATGTTATACATAGGTACTGGAGAGTGATGGGAAGCATTTTCCATACTCTGTGGAGCTTTCATGCATGTCAATTGCTTATCATCCAAAATCCAAACTCTTCTGAGCAATCTGGGCAACAACCAGCTCCAATGAGAGTCACCAGGTATCTGAATGAATAATGTCTTGTACCTGAGAGATTAGTTTCTATCTATCTATTACCCATCTGTGTGAGATTTTGGTAGAAGAATAAGAGGTGATCTTATTGTCTAAATCGAAAGAAACTTCAAAATGTTTCGGTGTAAAGGAATCTGGGTGTCCTCAAACACGAGACACTGAAAGCAGGTACAGCAGGTGATAATGGAGGCAAATGGATTTTTGGTATTTATTGCTACAGGAACGGAGGAACTGCAAAAAAAAAAGACCCTTCTAGCAGTAGTCAGGATGCACAAGAGATAATAAATGAAGAGATAGAAAAAGCATGGAAGAAAGGCACCATTGCAATCATCATGGGGGACTTTAACATGCAGGCGTACTGGGAGAATCAGGTTGGTGACTGGTCCCAAGGAAAGAAATTCACAGAATATCTACAAGATGGTTTTTTGGAGCAGCTTGTTGTAGATCCCAATAGGGATCAGGCAATTCTGAATTTGTTGCAGTATAATGGGGCAGACTTGATTAGGAAGCTCAAGATGAAGGAACGCCAAGGAGCAGTGACCATATTATGGTAGAATTCACCCTGCAGTTTGAGAAAGAGAGGCTGGAATTAAATGCAACGGTGTTATAGTTGAGTAAAGGTAATGACGAAGACATGAGAGAGGAGCTGGCCAGAATTGATTGGAAGGGGACCCCAGAAGGGAAGAAGGTGGAACAGCAAGGGCAGGAGTTTCTGGGGTTAATTTGAGAGACACAGCAAAAAATTCATTCCAAGGCAGAAGAAACATAGTAAAGGGAGGATGAAACAACCATGGCTGATAAGGGAAGTCAAGGACAGCATAAAAGCAAAATAGAATGCATACAATGTGGTGAAGATTGATGGGAAGCCAGAGGATTGGGAAGCCTTTAAAAACCAGCAGAGGATAAGTGAAAAAGCAATAAGTTGAGGAGAAGATGAAATATGAGAGCAAGCTAGCTGGAAATATAAAAGAAGATTGCAAGAGTTCTTTTAGGTATCTAAAAAGACAAGGGGGAGGCAAGGGTGGATATTGGACATATACTTCCTTGAATTTATCGAGCTTGACATTATCAAATGTTGATATCATCTACCAGACAGGTGTTCTTTTTCTCCATTGTGTTAGAGCTAACTATGTCATCTTTTCTTGCCCAAGCTCCTAAAGTTGTGCAAACATTAGTCTGATGCACAAAAATGATTACAGAGGGATGCAGCAAAAAATGGGCCATTTATTTCAAGTCATCATGCTGGCCAACATAATCCATTCAAGTTTCTTCAATTTTTCTTCATTTAAAGCATTATAAATCTGTATTCCTTTTTCCCTCACATATCTGTCTACCTTCCCAATAAATGTAACCATACTATTTGATTCACACATTTCCTGTGATAATCAGCTTCACATTTTCAGCTTTCTTTGAGCAACAAAGATTCTTCTGAATTTACCTATTGAATTTTTCAGTGAAAATCCTAATCAATAGACTGTAGTTTTGATCTTTTGGACAAGAATGAAGTGGTTTGTTTAACCACCCCTGCAAAACCTCTCATAATATTAAAGTCCCCTATAACCCCTCAGCCTTCTTTCTTCAAGAGCAAAGGGACCCAACATGTTCATTCTTTCAATTTTTAAATTGTAAATTTGTAAACCAGGGATTGACTATGTAAGAGCATTATGGACAAGAGCATTATAGACATGTGCCCACATGCCAATTAAAAATAACACACCCACTCACAGCTGGGATTACACCTGTATCCAATTCAATGCTAAATAAAAACTGAAAAAAATTGTGGATACTGTAAATCAGAAACAAAAATAGAAATTGCAGGAAAAGCTCAGCAGGTCTGACAGCATCTGTGGAGACAAATCAGAGTTAACGTTTTGGGTCGAGTGACGCTCTCTCATGAAAGCCGCAAGAAAGGCCCTGAGCTTCCAGTTGCCTGCCAGTTCAAAAAGACAACCCTGTTCCCTGGCCCACATCTCTGACTCAGGCTTGCTGCAGTGCTCCAGCGAAGCTCGGCGCAAGCTGGAAGAACAGCACCTCATTTTCGATTTAGGGAGCCTGCAGCCTTCTGGACTCAATGTCAAGTTTAATAAATTTAGGCCTTGAGTTCTCCCATGTCCTAACTCCAACCTCTACACACCAGGCATTGTTATCATAGAGTCTGGTGTTATACACAACCCATTGTTAGCCATTAACAGTCCTCATTAGTAGCTATTCACCCTCCTAACTAGATCGTTATCCACTTCTTTGTTTGTCTAACTGTTCTTCTACCTCTTTGAGCCCTATCCCCATCTATCGTTTACACCCTCCCCTCACCCTATCTTCTACATATAAACTAACATTTTCCTAGCTACAAACAGTTCTGAGGAAGGGTCACTCAACCTGAAATATTAACTCTGATTCTCTCCACAGACACTGCCAGACTTGCTGAGCTCTTCCAGCCATTTCTGTTTTTATTTCCAATTTGATGCTGTTCAACCTGCTGTGCAAATATGGGATTCCACTGTAGCACTCGTTTGGATTTCTTACTGTTTGAGTGTGATCAAGCTGTGAATGATATCATTGTCCTCCGTGAGTCCTCTTGTGAATGAAGAGTCTGATGTGGGATCAGCAAGGACATACTGTTCTCGCTGGTTGGGGTTCAGTTGATGGGGGAGGGGGCGGGGGTGCGCATTTCAGCAGCTGAACCACCTCTGAACTTCCCCGAGGTACATGGGATGTTGGGGTTTGGGGGCGGAGGTGATCCATGAACCAAGTTTCAAGGCTTGCCTCAGTCAGACAGACAACTGTAGGGTTCTTCCAGGACAGAAGTGGTCTGTGATGCAGACTATTGGAAAGCTCTGTTTTAGAATATCCTCATATCATTTGCACTGACCACCTTGATGTTGTTTGTCCTGAGACAGTTTCACAAATAAGACCTGCTTGGTGATTCTATTGACATCTTCCAGGCACAGGTGCAACTCCCTTTGGCTGTGTGCCTCATAAAAAATGTACATTACAAATCAACAGAATTGGAAATGTATCAAGGCATCTCAGAGTGGAATACTTTTTGTTATTTCCAGTTTGAGACAGTTTTGCCCATGGCCTGCATACCTGACATACATGACATTGTATAAATATTAAATCTATTACAATTGCATCAGCTGGAACGTTCTGTTAAGTTGAATTTTCTTACAAATAAGTGTAATGATCAAGTTGAAATGTTTTGAATAGAATAGGACAGAATATCCTTTATTGTCACATGTACTCAAGTATAGAAGTACAGGAATACAGTGAAAAGTTTATAATTTCACCCCACATGGTGCCATCCTTAGG